TTCCGATCCACAAGGAAACTTTCGGCTCCAAGCAATCTGGCCTATTGAAACATTGTTTTCCCGGGAGAAATTTGAACAAAGCGAAGATCACGACTTGAGCAGAAGTCATGATCTTCGCTTTGTTCAAATCTGGCCTATGTTCAGTCTAAATTTACAAACGCTCATGGCATTCCTCGACACTCGCGGACTCTGCTTTGCCCGATAAACCAGTCTGATTTCTCTGTTGAACCAGTAAATAGGCAGCATGGTCTGTCATGGAAATCAAGGTAAGATAAACATTGCAAATTGCATTTCAGAGTCGCACCAACGACGACCACTTAGTGCAAAAATTTACTGATACTGGTGGAAGCAGCTAAATTTGAGGGCTATGCTCCGTCAATAAATAATTTTCGAAATGTGCCATGTTCATGTGCCTTCAAGCGGCTCAAGGGAATGCTGTTTGGTCCATCTTACATATTGTGTTCCTGTTTTTTTCTCAGTATATATTATCTGAATTTCAGATGGGGTCAGATGTTTAGAGGACAAAGTCAGCTGCTGTGTTTACACTATGAATAGTGCGGACGTTGGAACTCTGCAAGATTACTCCTTTGTGATGCCGGTTCTATCGACGTCTACACTAACTAGAAGAAAAGTCAGTCCACTCAATATTTCGTAGGCCTGGCCGCTTTCACGGATGTCAGTAAACGGGAGGCCTCAGTAGAGTTGCACCGGCATATCTAGCTTAAATGACAAAAATGTCCAAAAATAGAAAGAATGAACAACGCGTAGCCCACAATTAATGACCTACCATTGGCATTAGCCAGAGTGAACTTCAAGTTCTGGAACATGGGCAGACCGGGGTCGGTGATGGGAATATTCGCAGTGATCGTGTTTACACCACTTACAACGATCGTCGGTGGCCGGTTTCGCGGTTGAGACTGGGTCCCCTGCTGAGCTAGTCTTCTGTCCTCAGTGTTGTCCTCAACTTCATCCTTCGGCAACCACACGGATTTGTCAGGCAGGTCAACAGTTTCCACTGGATAGGAAGCATCCGGTGGAGGCGGCACTGCTTCCCAGCTAGGAGGAGGAATCGGCGGTGCCAGATAGAGCGGTATTCGCGCCACGGAAATGTTGGCGCGCGGAGCTCCATCACACCTATATGCCGTCAAAGAAAACGGAATCTAAACATATGTCTGGTACAGGGTGCGAAGAACATTTTATGCTTTTTCAGGCAGCAAACCTGATAACATCGCCGGATTTCCTTACTCAGGCTCGATGCTGGCAGAGGGAGGGAGAAAGAAGACAGTGAACCTCATTCTGATCGATTTTTCCTTACTATCCCACCCCTAATGCACTTGTGACTATCACGGGAGGCGAAGACATCCGGGTTATCTCAGATTAACATTGCCGAAAAATACAAGGAGACTGGGATGTTCATTTCTGGTTCGTAAGCCGTCGTCCGGCAGTCATAGTTAGCAGTCAAATCCACCCGAAGCTCGAACCCCCTACGCGTTGATCAGAATAGGAATTCACCGCCTACTTAAAATAAGTGACCTTGGGATAGATTTCAGGAAGGATAAATATTCCTGCGTCTTAACCCTAACATTAAACGAAAACTATGAAGTTAGACTTGATCCAAGCCATACGATAAACCTTTACCTTACAGTTGAACTGGACACTAACCTTAGCCATTAACATAATGTGGACTTCAACTTCAACCTTAAACCTAACCCTAAGGTTAATCCTAACCCTCCTCTTAATTTCAAACCTAGTTTTGCAGAATTTGGTACAAAGCTAAATGCATTATGAGCGGTTCCTATACCCCATGTGCTGTTTAGGTGATCATGCAAGTCGTACCTACCTAAAGAGGTGAGGGGGCGTTTAATGCCCCGTAGGTTCACGTCATGAGAATGCAAATCGTGTGCAAGTCATAAATGTTTAATCGCAGCAGGGTAGTTCTTATAAAGTACGATAAATGACCAGCGGGAAGTCACGCTATAAGAGTAAGGAAACACAGAAGTCAGCAGGCGTGGTTGTCACAACGGCCGACTTTGAGGACTCCATTCCGCCATTTTTGTTTCGACGATCATTTTCAGCCATCCTGGTTTCTACATGCAGTCCCATAATAATATGACTTAGTTATTGCTTCATTAACTATGGGGAAAACCTCAGCTATGGCCCCTCTGGGGAACCCACTGATGAGGCCGATCCCTCGTAGCGGTGTAAAGCAGCGGCAGTATACCGGCGAAATGGGTGTCTGGGTTTTTTGCCAGTACCTTTGTTGCCAGTATGGTAAATTACAAACTAAATGTATGCTACTGTTTGGCCGTTGGCAGCAGGTGCAAATACTGCCCGCTTTCTACGTGCAAACGACTGTTGATTGGTCCTCAAGCCAATCCTCTGCCAATTTAAAACTGAGTGGTCACATTTGTGATATCCATCAATCGATAATTTCGTGCTGTCGGGGACAGTGACTCGAGTGCCGACTCGCGTTAACCCGATAGATCACTCGCCATTTTAACAGTTCGATAGCCTAGTTGGATTAATTGTTTCATCAAGACTGTCCACTCGGAACTCCCATTGCGTTTATTGATATTTAGCGAAGTATTTGTCTGATGAACGTATGTGTTTCGCCGATCTAGTAGAGGAACAATTAAGTTCCGCTTT